TGCTGAGCCTGCGCGTCTGGAGCCTGTGCTCTGCAACAGGAGAGGCCATAACAGTGAGAAGCCCGCGTACCGCAAAAACAAAACAAAACAAAAAAAAACCACACACACACAAAAATCAAATATGGATTATAAATCAGTAAAAATAAAATTCTAGGCCTAAAATATAAAAATTAGCCATTGGTTAAAATCAGTCATAAAAATTTTGACCTAGTGCTAACTTGTCCTTAATACAGTTGAAGAAGCAAGGTCAATGGGCTACAGATACAATGTTAGTAATAAATAGCTCGAGTGCTATTGGGCCACTGTTGCATTTTTAAAAATGTTTACAGGGCCCACATATTTAAGAATGGGTAAGATCCAGATATAAGACTAGTGATCCCTTATCTCAAGTCCACTTGCTTATAATGGCATTATTAGTGCATATGCATGTGGCCAGTTCATGGGCATAAAGAGTTTGCTTTATAGGGAATTCCCTGGAGGTCCAGTGGTTAGGGCTCCGCACTTTCACTGCTGGGTTCAATCCCTCGTTGGGGAGCTAAGACCCCACAAGCTGCACAGCGCAGTCCATCCGCATCCTCTTCACCCCCCCAAAAAAGAAAAAAGTTGTTTGCTTTATAGGACAGTAAAATCTTACAATTTGGAAGGACTTCTCTCAACAATCTTGAGCCCATTTTTCCTTAACTTCAGTCATTCCCATATTGATCATCTTCAAAACTTTGGTCACATTCCCTTAATATTTTCATTTTAATTAATGCATTTTATTAATTTAGGTATATTTATTTTAAAAAGAAACTTTATGTTGCTTCCATAAGAGAAAAAACAGTATCTCTTGACATAGAGGATAACCTGTTTTTAGTCATTTCCTTACATTGCTTCTCAAGACTGGGAGTTCTTCGTTTCTGCATTTAACTCCAACATGGACTCCCTGAGATTCAAAATGGAGACTTTTTCGGAGGGATTGAAATATAAGAAAGAGGGACTGAAAATGTCCACAGTAGGATACCACAATGGTTAAAAAATGCAGATTAAAGCGTTTTATGAGAAACTGGAAAAAGGGAAGCTAAGGATTCCTACCCTGGTTCACGGCAAAAACTTACTATTAACTCTTCCCATCTTTGCATCTTCATTAAAAAGGTGAAAGAGCCTCAATTTTATAAAGTATTTGTGCTTAGCCAATGCCTAGAGAAGTGTCAGCTCAGTGTTCACTCCAAAAATTCCTACACACATTCTCTGGCAAGTGAGCTTGTTGTTTAGCCAAGAAGACAGTCTAAGAGAAGGGTAGTTGTCACTTGCCACTTTCAGCTGCAGACAGTTGTGATCAGATCTCTCTTTAAGAGGGAACCTGTTTTTTGTCATCTGTACATCTTCTGAATACTCAGCTTTATCATGAACCCTTCTGGTTTTACCAGATTCACCCCAAATGGCAGTTCTTGGCTCTGTCAACTACTCCTAGTAAGGAGAGAAGATTGCATTGCGGTTCCACAGTTTCCATTCTACATTCAACACAGAAGTCCAGCCTCTAAAGGAGGAACAGCCTCTCATACTAATCTGCTTACTCAGCAGCATGGGTCCTGCTAGAAGTATAATTCAAGTCTCTTAGATGTTAAACTGAACTAAGTGAGAAATTCCTGGAGGGCAGAAACTACATTTTACGGTTTATTATATTCACTTAAAGGTAGACCACTAGTTTTTGCCAAATGGCTGGATGGACTGCATCTCACACCTCAAGCCTTATCCTAGCATATTCAAAATGGAAACCACTGACTTTAGACCAAAACATTTTTTTTTTTTTTGCAGTACGCCGGCCTCTCACTGTTGGGGCCTCTCCTGTTGTGGAGCACAGGCTCCGGACGTGCAGGCTCAGTGGCCATGGCTCATGGGCCTAGCCGCTCCACGGCATGCGGGGTCTTCCCAGACCGGGGCACGAACCTGCGTCCCCTGCATTGGCAGGCAGACTCTCAACCACTGCGCCACCAGGGAAGCCCTACTCCAAAACATTTTGATGTAAGTCTTCCCAAACCTGAGATGTGTACAGTGTGTGTATGCATGTATGGCCATTTTCACAAGTCAGCAAATTCTCTTCTACAGCATGGCTGCATCTTATGTTATCACTTGTATGAATGTGACATAATTTCCTTAACTAATCTCCTATTATGAGAAATTTAGGAATATATACAATATTCGCTATTCTGAATGGCACTACAATGAATGACTCTGTTTACAAATTTATCTTTATAAACATGTCATTATTTCCTTGTGATATTCTTCCAAATGACCAGGTCAAATAAGATGCACACTTAAAAAAAAATTCACAATATTGTGTTAGTTTCAGGTGTACAGCAAAGTGCTCCAGATATATATCTTTTTTTCTGATTCTTTTCCATTATAGGTTATTACAAGATATTGAATATAGTTCCTTGTGCTATACAGTAAATCCTTGTTGTTTACTTTATATATGGTAGTATCTGTTAATCCCATACTCCTAATTTATCTAAGCCCCCACTTCCCCTTGGGTAACCATAGCTTTGTTTTCTATGTCTGTGACTGTTTCTGTTTTGTAAATAAATTCACTTGTACTACATTTTAGATTATAGTGATATCATGTAATATTTGTCTTTTTCTGTCTGACTGACTTCACTTAGTATGATAATCTCTAGGTCTAGATGCACGCTTCTGAAGTTCACAGAATCTTTGGTGATGCCACCCACCTGGTACAGTACTCTGCTTAGAGGAACCACAGCACCTCTCTGCTGTGTCACATTTTGCCCTAACTATTTATTATGTTCAGTATTTGGCCCCCACCCAATACATTTTTAATTTCTTGAGAGTAAAAATTACTCTCAAGTAGAAATTCCATCCCCTTACTCATCCCCATATCCAAACCATTCCAGATCCCAGTAAATAGTAATCAAACACAATTGCGAGGTACTGGGATGAAAATGGATGAGGTGTAATCCCTGCCCAGAACAGCAGGGGAGGCAGACCTACCAACAACTACATGTGATACATTCAGTTCTACACTGTAATAGAGATGGAGGAAACTTACTATGGGAACAAAGATGAGGGAGCAGTGAATTCCTCCAGGGCAAAGGTAAACAAGGAGAGGGGAAAAAAAGAGGTAACAGGAAGCTATGGAGTGAGGCAAATTATTGAATTACTTCTTGAAACATTAATAGAAGTTCACGAGGGGGGAAAATAATGGGGAGGTGACATACTGGGTAGATTTACAAGTAGACGCCAGTCAATTCAAACTTTTTGTTTCATCTAGAGTAGTTCCACCTAGGAATTTCATGAAGATCTCCCATCTTCTGAGGCACTACTGACATTTTGAGCCAGATAATTCTTTGTTTTGCAGGGCTGTCCTGTGCATTATAGGATGTTTGCAGCATCCCTGGCCTCTCCTCACTACATGTCAGTAGCAACGGTCCCCAACTTCCAATTGTGACAACTGAAAATGTTTCCAGACATTGCCAAATATCCCTGCGGACGAAGGGGAGTGGAAATCACCCTGCTTGAGAATCAGTGTTTTAAGCGTAATTCTAGCTCTAAGGACTTCTCCCTTACTATACTATCTTTTCTCTCAGCCAGGAAATGATTTTTTTCTTTTGTTCAAAGCCCTACTGGACACTTATTTTATTTTTAGGTTAGAGACAAACTGTCAAAAACATTAAGTTACTGATACCCCAACTATAAAAATGTTATCAGTAACGAAAAATGAAATGTTCACTATGAAAGTACGTGTATTATGGCTGATATTTGTTCAGAACATTACAATTTGCAAAATATTTTCATAACTGATTTTACTGAATGCTCACAACATCCTGTGAAGTATCCATCATTGATCCCATTCTAGGGATGAAGACAGGCTGGGTCAAAGACATCAAATATCTGAGACCACCTGAGTATTAAGTCCTGGAGCTAAGATTCATACCCGGACAGTCTCATTCCAAATTGTATACACTTTCCATGTAGTTTAGTAAAAAACTAACATGAGCTTCTCTAGGTTGCAGACAGGCTAAGCCAGAGAGAAAGACTCATCTTAATATCACACAGATGGAGAAATAAAATGACTTGAGGATGCTCTGTTACCTACATAGCCCACCAAGAAGCTGTAATAAGTAAACACTTCTTTGTGGAAGCAAAGCATCACTTAACTACCAAAAAACTATGTTGTCTCCATCCTTTGCATAGCTTCAAGAGCACTTATTATGCAAAAAGAAGAGTGATACATACTAAATATGCTAACATTTACACTCATAATTTTTAAAGTATGTTAACTTATTTTAGTCATTCTGTTGTAAATAGCTTATTCTAAATTGGTATAATAGAGATTATTATCCACTGATAGAAAACTGTGCATACAAATAAACATTAAGTAACTAGATTACGGTCACACAGATAATTAGAGACTAAATCAAAATTAAGTTCTTTGTACCTCTAGATAAGTGTTCTTTCCCCTCCAAGCAGTTTCCAGCATCATATGACCCTACACACCTCCAGATATAAATATCACTATGCCAATAAATAAAAATATCCTCAACCACTCTGTTTCAATATTATCTGAAGCCACATCTACCTTGGTAGTTTTAAACACACTATAAAGTACGAAGTGGGAATTTTTTTCTACTCTTGTATCAAAGATAAAAAGCATTCCCTTAAATTAGGCAAATTAGCAGAATTAGTGAAACTGTCTTATTTATGACGAGTTAGTTAGCACATGAAAAAAATGTTTGCAATTTTCTAGACTTAGTCAACTCTGTACCCAAACAATGCTTGATACTTCTGAACCTGGACTGCAGCCTGACAAAAAGGCAAGCAGGGAAGGTCCATGAGTTTCCTGGATATAGTCATACTTCTTTAAGAATTACTTGTCTATGTTAAGGTAAAGAGCTAATTTAAGACAGGAATACATTTTGCAATAAACAAACAGGTATTTTAAATATGAATGGAAAGCCATTCAATTCCTGGTTTAAACAACAACAAAAAATTCCAAGTCTTACTCCATCATAGAAGGTGGGATAGTACAGCAGTCTTGAATCGCAGTTAGAGGAGAGGTCAGGTGAGCCGTGTAGGATGCTTCTACAACTTGCTTGTTCCGGTTGACCACATCCAAGTAACGGTTGAACTTCTCTCGGATTTTTTTGGCTAGCTGTAGGATGAGAGTAAGCAAAATAAATAGAAAGACCAGGACAATAACCCATTGTACTTTTTCCTATAAGCTCATCAATTTGTGTCACAAGCTGCCTGCAGTAAACTTCAGGTAAGATAAACACACACCCAAGTCTTATTTCATTGTGTAAACTGAAATAAAAATTGCAAAATGCCCAGAAGGCACAGAAGGATACGTCAACAGCAGTAAAATAATAACTTCTATCTTACAATAGATTATAATACATTAAGAACTACCCATGTGCTCAAATTCAGATAGAATAATACTGATCCATAAAATGCCTTGCTGGAGAAAACGAAGTCTGTTGATATTACTGTTGGCATGACAGTGGGTATTAGGAGTTACAGAGCAACAACAGTGATTGGAAGAAAAAAATGCCACTATTCATGGTTCTCGATTCCCACAGATTTTTCAGGAGGAAAACACTTGAAGGAAGGGAAATGATATTCAGCATCTTCTGCTACACAACTCCAGGGGGCACCATTCACAGCCTTCCATGTGAATGGCAAATCCCTGAAGTTGTGCAATGCAGACATCCATACAAAACAAAATATATTGTTAGAAATAGATCTGTGTTTGGTCTGTTACATCTTTAACATGGACAAATGTCCTTCTTAACTGCTGTGAACAGAACACTTCATCATAATACACTTTCATATGGGGATAGCAAAAGCAAATTGCTAAGCATACTGCTTTTTTCTCCATTGTTCCCACCAAATATCACAGCTTAATTAGAGATCTCTAAGGAAAACAGTGTTGTTTTTCTTCCCCTTAAACAAAATGTTACCCAAATGCAGTGACTGATAGAATTATTGCTAATTGGTTTTGTAGAGCTATTCATTACCAGCACACTAGAGGAGAATTAATCATCTCCTTTGGGTCATGCATCTCGCACAATCCAACAGCTTGGAGGCTGAGAACATGGAACCAAATCAGAATATCTTCGTTTGTTATTTTCAAGCCGATTTTCAAACCTGCTTCAAATTTCCCACCTACAAGTGTCATTCTTCATTGCCCTTGGGAACAAATGTTCTGTAACAGGATAAAGATAAGGAGTGCTTGAAAGGACTGAAATTCCAAATAACATCTTCACAAATTCACTTCTAAAATGAAAAGGGAAATTGCAAACATTTCTTTCCCTCACACATATCCAAAGACACAGACACTTGAGAAATGCCCCAGTGTTTCTTCTACACATTTGGAGAATTCTAACTTAGAGTCAGATCTAGCTCATCATGATATGCTTTTTTTTTTGTAATTGGAGTATAATTGCTTTACGATGTTGTGTTAGTTTCTGCTGTACAATGAAGTGAATCAGCCATATGTATGTGTATATCCCCTCCCTCTTGGACCTCCCCACCCCTCATCCCACCCATCTAGGTCATCACAGAGGACTGAGCTGAGCTCCATGAGCTGTACAGCAGGTTCCCACTAGCTATCTATTTTACACATGATAGTGTATTTATGTCAAACCTAATCTCTCAGTTCATCTCAGCCTCCCCTTCCCCCCATGTCCACACACCTGTTCTCTACATCTGCATCTCTATTCCTGCCCTGAAAATAGGTTCATCTGTACTATTTTTCTAGATTCCACATACATGCATTAACATATGATATTTTTCTCTTTCTGACTTACTTCAGTCTGTAGGACAGACTCTAGGTCCATCCACATCTCTACAAATGACCCCATTTTGTTCCTTTTTATGGCTGAGTAATATTCCATTGTATATATGTGCCACATCTTCTTTATCCCTTCATCTGTTGATGAACATTTAGGTTGTTTCCATGACCTTGCTATTGTAAATAGTGCTGCAATGAACATTGAGTTACATGTGCCTTTTTGAATTATAGTTTTCTCAGGGCATATTCCCAGTAGTGGGATTGCTGGGTCATATGGTAGTTCTATTTTTAGTTGTTTAAGAAACCTCCATACTGTTCTACACAGTTATCAATTTACATTCCCACCAACAGTGCAAGAGGGTTCCCTTTTCTCTGCATCCTTTCCAGCATTTATTGTTTGTAGATTTTTTTATGATGGCCATTCTGACTGGTGTGAGGTGATACCTCATTGTAGTTTTGATTTGCATTTCTCTAATAATTAGTGATGCTGAGCATCTTTTCATGTGCCTCTCGGCCATCTGTATGTCTTCTTTGGCGAAATGTCTGTTTAGGTCTTCCACCTATCTTTTGATTGGGTTGTTTGGTTTTTTGATATTGAGCCGCATGATCTGTTTGTATATTTTGGAGATTAATCCTTTGTCTGTCGTTTCGTTTGCAAATATTTTCTCCTATTCTGAGGGCTGTCAGATCTAGCTCATCATGATATTCTAATTTGGCTCACTGCCTATTTTTTAGTCGGCTAAGAATGGCTCTTACATTTTTCAATGTAATTTTTTAAAAGGTATTTTGTGATATTTAATAACTACATGAAATTTGAATTTCAGTGTTCATAAGTTTTATTGAAACAGTCATTTGCTTACATATTGTTTCTGGCTGCTTTCATTACACAATTGCAGAGTTAAGTAGTTGGAATAGAGATTGTATGGCTTGCTTTGCTATAGGCAGAAGTCAGAAGCCCTAACATGTCCAAGATTGAGCCATAACTCCAGTAATTTTATAAAAATTTGCTCCCCATTTAGAAGTGGGGGTCCCTCTACTCCCACTGCTTGAATCTGGGTAGGCTTATGATGGCTTCTACCAGTAGCATATAGAAAGTGACACTATGTAACTTGCAAGGCTAGGTCATAAAGGGGCATGCAGCTTCCACCTGTCTCTCTTGGAATGCTCTCAACTACCATGCTGTAAGAAGTCCAAGACACATGGAGAGGGCACAGTCAAGTGCTTGGTTGGCAGCCCTAGGTGAGCAAGTCTTCATCCCAGTCCTTGCTCTGGATATGAATCAAGAAGCCTTTGGATAATTCCAGCCCCCAGCCTTCGCTGATGGAACCCCAGACATTACGGAACAGAGGTGCCATCCTCGCAATGCCTGAACCACAGAATCCATAGGCATAAAGAAACAGTTGTTTATGTCACTAAGTTTGGGATGCTTTCTAATGCAGCAACAAGTAACCGGGACACCCAGGATAGGTGGAATTCCATCCTAAGATAAACATGTCGAAGCTAAGCTAAACAAAGCTGCTCAGACAGAAGCACTGCAACTAAATCATCAGAATTATCGAGACTGTAGCCTGTGAATTATAAACCTGTTGCAATGAGATTTCAGGGTTCTTCAGAAAATCATAACAGCTGCCATACAGTGGTACTTACCATATGCTAGGCACAAGGACCCTACAATGTAGGTACTGTCATCTTATATCAATGAGCCACAAAATAAAAGGACCCACTCACTCATCCAAAACTCAGAACTGTCTTGCCTGTAAAACCTGTGTGTTCACTTGCTCAGCTATGGTGCCCCAGACAAACCTAACTTAAGAGAAGCTGCAACATGATCAGCCATGGCACAGAGTGGGCTGGCCGTGGAACTAAGTGTTCCTTGGGTTGCGGAACCCAAGCGGGGGTGGTTACTGGCTGATGGGAGATTGGCCCTGCCCGGGGGTGGGGGAGCAGGGGGTGGTATCTGCCTTTGGCCTCCTGGTTAGGGTGAATCTCACGCTGCATTCTTCATAGGTGGAGGCACTAACTTGCACGCAGAGCCCAGACACACAAGGCAATGAACAAAAGGTCTCAGAAGCAAGCTCTCTCCACTAGGATTCGCACCTCTTGGTCAGAAACCCCTCCGTGTTTCATACTGCGACACCCTATCTTGTTTATTTAAAACAAATAATTGCCAACATCTGTTGAGGGCTAACTATGTGTAGGGCACTATTCTGAGCACCTCACAAGCATATATCAATTTAATCCTTCAAAGAACCCTATAAAGTACACATCTCCATCTTCTAGAAGTGGACACTGAAGGTTAAATAACGTGCTCAAGGTCACAAAGCCAGTAAGTAGTAAAGCTGGGATCCAAAGCCAATAGCATTCTGCTTTAGAAACAAAGCTCCGGCCTTTATGCAACACTGCTTAACTCTGTAAATACACAGACCAGCAACCTCCCTCACCATTTCTTTTCAAACCCATTTGAACAAATGCTGTGAAATTCTCGGCAGGATACCATAAGCAATACACAGCCTCATTACTTTATAATAAGAATTATATTTTTAATAGTTTACATTTCATTTAAAATTCTTCATAATTCCTATGAAAATCAAAAAATTGAAGTTCAGAAGCTAAATTCTACTGCCAATATGAAAAAGGGATTGGGCCGAATTTGAAATAATGTATCCTCCAAAACAGTGCCTGTTACCTGACTACCGTGGTATCAGTTCCATTGAACTAACTTAAACTGTTCTGATTACTCCACGGTGTTCCAGTTTGTTCATAACCTGGAAGGAGAACAGAATGTATGTACCATTCCTATCCTGCAGGAAGTGAACTTCAGAATTCAGTATTTTCCTCTGGGTTTTCATCTGAGTTAATTTATGTCATCACAGAGTAGTAAGATGAAATTGTAATTCCTATTTTATGTGTGAAAAAACAGAGGCATGTGGAGCTTGAGGGTCTCTGGATTCCCAGGGGGTGCCTGGCCTCCTGTGACCCCACTGCCTGAGATGACCCACCCTGTGCCCTTTGGACAAGGACTGTGACAGTCACTCACAGTAGAAACCTCACACTCCACCGTGGGGTAGATTTTCCCTTTCGAAAAGCAATCTCTTTTAGCATGCCAACCAAATCCAGGTTGCTCGGCAAGCATAACAATCTATTAGAGTAAAGATAGCCCACAGAAAGATTAAATCCTGAATGTATCTGTTAAATGTGAGAGAACTGGCTACCAAGGTGGAAACTCCCAAGAGGCCAGACAGATTCTGGGTGTGTATCCTGCCATGATCCCTGCAGACAGGCAAAAACAAAGGACGTTCTCAGCAAAAAGCTACAGGTGGACCCACAATCCTCCTCACTGTAATTAAAAACATTTTTCT